GTACGAGAAGGTTTTTGAAAATTTGAATTATTTTCGGAAATATAGGCATTTTACTGACCTGGTCTTCATACTAGTTTGGCTTCACGCAAAACTTTAAATGCGTTTTTCTCAGAACTTACTTTTTCAGTACTCTTGTCACGATTTCTGGAGTTCTACTCGACTAATTTATTTGAAATTTTCAGAGAGTCTTGTTTATAGATCTATCTATAATCTGAACTAGAATCATCCCGAAATTCTTATTTTTACTATTTTTAAAAAATTCGAGAAACTCAAAAAAACAGTAAAAAAAATCTTTTTTTTTTCAAGCAGTCGCCAATTTGTGAAAAATTTTTTTACTCATCGCTAGTTCGGCCGATTGCAACATTATTATAGATTAATAATCTTTTTATTTATTGCATTTCCGATGACTAGGAGGGCTGAAATCATGTCAAGACTGAGGTGCCAATTTTTTTAGACCACCCATTTCATCAGCTGGCAGTTTTTACAATTTTCAACTTTTTTATTTTTTAATTTTTGTTTTGTATTTTAATAATATTAATAAATAAGTCGTAAAAAAATGGATAGTAAAAACATTCATTGCTTTCTTTTACGACACTTTAAAAATGACCTAAAATTCATCGCTCTACACTAGAATACTACCCCAAACCAAATACAAAATTGGTTTGGGGCCCCCCCCTAAAGATTTTTCATAATTTAAAGAAACATAAAAAGATTAATAAATTCATTTAATAAAATTAAAAGAACATTTATTTATCAATTTTTCAAATATACATCGAATATTATTCTTAATATTTTACAAGTAACTAAAATTAAATATTCACTCTCCTTGCCTTTTTATCCGCAAACTGATTTATTAAGTCATTTATAGCTGATGATGTTTTAGTTTTCTAATGTTTCTGCCTCTATGGACAATAGAGACAGGTCTGATAGACGTTTCTGTTTTATTGATGTTCTTAGGTAATTTTTGATTAATTTTAATTTTGAAAAACTCCTTTCAGCAGTTGCGGTTGTAACTGGAAGGGTCAAGAATAAAATGCAAGCTGTTATTACATCCGGAAAACTGGATGCAATATACTATTAATCTACATTTAGTTAAATCGATTCCATATTGATTAAATATATTCAAAATTTCAATTTTAAGTCCTTCGGCTCTGCTGTCAGATACTGCTACAAATCCCAAAAATGATTCACAGATTTTTAATTCTTTAGGCACATTATTACCATCCTCTGCTATCGAGATGTATCGGAAAACCAGAGAAAGTTGGTCAATCTTTGACAAATCTTGCGTTGTATCTAAAATTATTATAGAAATGGGGCCTTTTTCATTTCTGAAATAATATTGTTCCTAACTGCGGTTCCTAACAAACTTATAATTTCATTTTGGATCAAAGGGCTTAAATAATTTATTGCTCCCTTTGGTTTTAAAAGAAGTTCTTTCAAAACAGCATCATAATTCGATAGCAAACGCAAAATTGACATAAAACTTCCAGAATCGGAGTCATGGCCTGTTAAAGGTAAATTGCAAGATGCTAATGTTATTGCAAGATGTTAATGTAATATGCTGCTGTGACTTTTCATGTTCAAGTAAAGTTTGTGTAAAATTGCTTCTAATAGAAACACCGTTAACCCATGCAGAGGAGTATGATTTACTACGACGATCCGCTAATAACCAACAAAAGTGGCAGTATGGTTTGTTTAAAATATTAGAATAACATAACCATGGTTTTGAAATCTTTATGCCTGCTTTATTAGTATATAAATAATGATAAACGGAAAAAGAACGGTTACAAAATAATTCACAATCAACTGAAATATGTGAATAACCCCCGCTGTCTTTCAATATATAAAACCTCGACTAACTCTGGCAATTATCATATGACTGTATTTTTCTAACGTCTTTATTCTGTACCAAATGTTGTACTTCTTGTCCATTTTGGGTCAGTTGTAAAAAATATTACTTATTAAAAGAAATCCCTGCTGTTCGTTCGTCGCTTGTCAACATATCATTGTATTTTCGGTTACTGTACATTGTTTATTGAGGGTTTTTCATTGATTATTGAGGGAAACCCCGTAGGCAAAACATGCCGATAATCGATGTAGGTTGTCCCGACAATAAAAACTAGCTGTAAGTGGAATTCTGTCTTAAGGCAATTAGGGCATCGTGCCTTAAGGCAAATTGCTGGAACTTCCCGTACCAA